CGGCCTCTATACTCCACCCCGCCTGTTTGAATTTCTACCAGGTGTGGAATCAGTTCTGGCTTTGCACCTAATATGTTTATTACAGCTGCTCTCAAGTTCGAGGCAGTGAAGGATTCCATTTCACCCCACAAAGCTTTGCAATTCTTTTGAAGACCTCCTCTGTCCAGATGTGAAACGGCAAACCCAAAATTCTGAGTTCAATAGACTATTTTGGATCCACAGTTTTGGCATTGCTCAAGGGGGACCACCTTCGGACCATTGCCAAACCTTGCTTTGTTTCTACCGAAGTTGCGACAATCTCCCACTCGAGAGAAGGCAGAGTGATCAGCGTCCTCCTCCCATCAAAGGGATCTATCCTCGTACACATGGACACTTGAGCCCATGTCAAGTGTCTAGGTAAAACTATTTGCTGGAAATTTACCCTTCCTGTTGTAAAAAATAATAATGTAATGATAATGATCCTTGGCTCCTTGAGAATCTACCTTTAGATCTATAAATGATATTGATACAAAAATGTTCGATAGCCAGACAATTTTCCATCTGTGATGTTCTAGCTTTTGATTCTTCATTTATCCCTCCCTCCCTCTCTATTGAAGAGGTAAAGTAAAACTGTATTAATAAAAACAGAGTGAACAGGAAGAAGAAAAGGAGACGTGGTCATTCCAAGGACCTTCAATCAAAACCCAGACCCAACAGCCATAACATCAGGGTAAACTTTGAATTTCAAAATAAAGGGACCAACCAATTTCAAATTTTGAACAAGAAGTCTCTTGAAGGAAACTTCATTAATAAGTTGGCAGAGGTGCTTGCAGATTGGGTTAAGACTCATTTAAGGGACCCGGGTATTAGACCCATTGGCAAGCTTTATCATCAAAGGGGACTTTTTAGCCAGGTCCATTTGGAAGAGGAGTTAGGCCCAGAGCTCGCATCTCAGACAAGACGCCTAGGACCAATAAGAACTTGTGAAAAATAGGGCTTGCTTCTCCAGCATCAGGATCAAGAAGAACAGGTAAAGGAAAATAATGTTCATTTAGTCCAGCTGAGATGTGTACAAGACAATGAAGTGTTCTCATGGCTCATGTTTAAGTTGCTCAGTTTCGGGGAATTTTTAGGAGTTTCAATACAGGGTTTGGAAGAAGAAACCAAGGCATTGCTGGTTTCTTTGAAAAATAGACATCTAATTGAAGAAGGCAAACAAAATAGGAGACAAACTAAGGAACTTTCGCGACTAACTCAGGGGTCGAATGAGCGGGCTAGAAGTGTGGGAAGAAAAAGTATATCAGCTCATCGTTAATCATGGAAAGCATCAAAGTGTTATCTTGGAACATAAGAGGCTTAGGCTTTGGAAGAAGACAGTTAGTAGCAATGTTTTAAAACGCGAAGGCGTTCCACTACCTAGAGGCGTGAGGTGTAGTTCAGAACATAAGAGGTGTAAGCCTCCTGAACACAAAGAGGCATAAGCCTACTTAAGAGGAGGGGGATGAGGAGGAAGAAAGAGGAGGGAGAAGAGGAAGGAGGATCTCATTTTTCTTTATTTTTAATAAAAATCTTTTATATTAAGAAGAATGAAGATGAATATCACTAGTTAAAAGCGGGGACCCGCCCTAACACACACAAAAAAAAACAAAAACCCCCCTCCTTTTCTGGGGGGCTGGGGGGCTTAGTCCCCAGCCCACTTTCTTTCCCCTTATCTTTTCTTTCCTTCCCTTTCCTTTTCTTTTCTTTCTTTTTCTTTCCCATCCCTTTCTTTCCTTTACTTTTTTTTTCTTTTTTCTTTGTCTTTTTCTATCTTTTTACATGGGGTGTGCGTATGCCTCTTGCACCTAAGGCATATGCCTCAGAGGTGTCAATGCTTCTAGCATACGCCTCAAGGCGTTTTGGGGGTGCCTCGCCTGGAGGTGCGTCTCCAGGTGTACGCCTCCCATGCCTTTTATTGTTTAATTGTCGAGAAACAATGGAATGGGAAGGGATGGAATGAGAAAGGATGGGAAGGGATGGAATGAGAAAGGATGGGATGAGAAAAGAAAATTTTATTTTCTCAATTTGGTACCTGTGTTTGTTTGTTGAAACCATTATCCCATATAATTTGCTTTCCAGTGTTTGATTGATGAGAAAATTTTGCAAGATTTTTTATTTTAGCCAAATTTTGCTATATAACTTCTATACTCATATCAAGATAGTGGTACTCATTAATCTACAAGAGCTAAAATTCAAGATGATAATCCAACAAAAATCCTGAAAATATGAAAACTCAAAAAAAATTAAAGAAAAAAAACTTGAATTTCCAGTCTAATTGTACTCAAAGAAGAAAACAAATAAAAAAATCCACTAGAGAAATTGCAAGTAGTACATAGATCGTTTTTCTTCTGTTAAATCTCTATCTATAAAAACTCAAAAAATCACATCAGTGAAGAAAAACCTAACAAAAAATAATTAAAAAATGAAGATTATGGCAAATAGTAACCAACAATCTAAAATTCAGTATTCGTACTAAAAGTAGAAATTCAGCTCCAATAAATAATAAATAGGAAGGGGGAAAAAGAAACAAATTCTCACCAAGAAAAAAATGTAGGTTGAACAAGAGCAGCAACAGCGGTTGCAATGACACAGCCTGAGAAGAATCGTTCTTCGTGTGCTCTCTAGTGTTTGTCATGAGCGACAACACAGAAGCATGCCCTTCCCTTCTCTACTCTCCCACAACGGTTGCAGGTTGTCGTGAGCGACAACCTATACAATGTTACCTTTGTTGGAGAAGAAGAAGACGATAACTTGTTTCCTTGTCGTTTAGGGATTTGAACTCAACTTGAGGGAGGAAGGGAATGAGATTTTCAATCGAATAAAATACCAAATAACCTTTAAACAACCTGAAACGAGATGGAAGTGTTTATCGGAGGCCGTAAACTTCACCAGAGATGAAAGATACCGATGGTCGAAGTTTAGACCGTTTCAGGGGTCGGAGATGACAACAGTGCGCACTCGACAACTTTTTCTCACTACCATCGCACCTATTTGGTGAGACCCCGCGTCCCATATTTCGAGAAAGGTATTCTCATTGCATTCTAGTATGTCACCCAAAACAAACATCCCATCCCAGTCACACGAACCAAAAGGACTATAAAGAAAAAAGGTGGATATTGTGATGTTGCAGGAAACTAAATTGTACAAAGTGGACTTCCCAATATTAAGAAGCATTTTGGGGTTTTCCGCCATGTGACTGCAGGGGGGTGTAGCTCTTGTTTGGAATAGTTCCACCTTCAAATTATTGGATAAACATGTAGGAGTCTTCACTTTTATGGTGAAACTTTACTATACAAAGGGATCAAAGGTTTGATAGATCCATTAAGTTTTTTTCACATTTTTTGCAAGAATGGGAGTTATTGGATTTACCCGGGTGCTCACTATACTTGGACCAATAATCAAGACCCTCCCTCTTTGGTTAGGCTTGACCTCTTTATTAGTTTTGCTGAATGGAAAGAGATTTTCCACCAGACTTTGCAAGAGGCCCTTCTGAGGGTAATATCTGACCATACTGTTTTGACGGGATACCATGGGTATCAAAAGAAAACCCCCTCCTTTTAGACTTGAGCATAGGTGGCTAGATCTGGAAGAGTTTCAGGCAAACATTCTTTAAGTGATGGTCAGAAGCAAGCTTCGAAGGCTCTGCTAGCTATGTTTTCACTAAGAAATAACAGCACCTAAAGGCACATATTAATGAACGGCAGTTCCTCATACCTCTTTTGAAACCATCAAGTCAAATCAGATAACTTTTCTTACTAGTTCAGTAAGTGGTCTTGTATCAACATGACCAAAGGCATCTTATATACCTTCACTCAATTTGTCAACCACTAGGTTGTCATAAATGCATTGTTTTCAACTCTATCATTTCTAGTCTTACCGATCATCCATCTCAACATCCTCATCTTTCCAATGCTTAACTTATGAATGTACTGCCTCTTAATTGATTTTCTGTAAAGTAAAGTTTTCCTTTCATAGGATAGCTAAAAAAGTGCTCTTTCTTACTTATGAGCAATAGAAAAACTGCACTACGCATCAACCCTAGCTGACCTAGTGCCTACGATTCACAAAAATTTCCCAATCAAAATGTGGTTTCACCTCTCAATCAACCAAGGAAAGACAGGAGACTCTAAACCAGATAGACAATAAAGGATTGGAATCCCTAGCAGGTTCTTTCTCAAGTAATTGAAAGAGGGGCCTTTGAACTATTTTGAGGCTAACAACCAGAGCACACCCAATTGGCATTCTTCTGCCTCGACATACTACCTTTCAGGAGTGCTTTTGGTGATGTCCTAGAAATTGAAGATAATAATAAAGCTTACACATAATACTTTTTGCACATGGTGTTATCCCTTCGCATCTTATTTGTATATTCTTTCTGCTTTATTGAAGCTTTTTGTTATCTATAAACCACAAAATGAAGAATAGTTTGAAGGGAGGCCTTTTTGCCTTCAAAGATATATTTGCTCTTTTATTCCCATGTTCTGTACATGAGCACAGACTATAGTTATTCCAGTACAGTGAGGTCATAAGCCCAAGCCTGTAAACCCTCCATTGACAATTCCAGCAAATAGTCTTATGTAAATTTCCCCTTCTGATGGTGACAACCCAATCAAAAGAGCACCTACCAAAAGTCATATTCTCCATCAATTTGATACAAGCATAAGTGCTAGCTGCTGGTACACCTAAATCTTCATCTTTGATGGTAGAAGAACTTGTTATTCCACATAAGTATTGTGAGCACAAACAACCAAATGAGAAACAACTTCTTGATAGAGTGGAATTTTGAGAAACTCTAAGCAGTAGAAACCCACAGGATTTCTTGGAATGAAAACAATGACCTAAGCACAAAATCAGTGCAAAGGAATTGGTACAGAATATTTTCATTAGATATTACTAATTATATAACACAGATGGACGAATTAAGGATAACTAATGTATGTAATAAGGTACAGAAAATATAAGGAAAAGGCAGTAGCTCTTACCATTAGATGAGAATTTTCCACACCCCTTGCTGTATCAATATATAGATGTCTCCCTAAAATGTTGACCTGAACTCGTACATATAAGTTAAGCATTGTCATTGCCCACAATGACAACACCATTAACGTGAAACCTGGTAAAGTGGTGAAAAAAGGAGAAAGAAGTCCATCTCAGCTAAAATGGTGTGACGATAATGATGATTTCACACACACACACACACCAAAAAAAAGGTAAGCTAAACAACCTTCTCTACAGTAGGATGCAGCTAGAGCTTGGATGCCATGGAAATGGATTTTTTCTTTTTTTCATTTTATATTCCCGTGGCATTAGAACCAATAATTTCTTCTTTTTTCTTGTTGAAGGGTAAGAAGAAATGGAACCATCTCCTGTTACTATTTTTAATCTCAAACAACATCATTTCTCTCTTTTTACTTGAAATGACTTCTGTTTGGATAGTGGCTGCAAAATGAAATGAGGGACCACTACAGTCATTTCATTCCAGAATGTCCAAACATGTTACAAAAATAACGTAATCCTTTTATTTCTTTCTTTTTTTCACAAATAAAAAAGAAAATGGAGTAGATAAAAAATCAAAAGCACATATAGGCAAGCAAAATGGGGAACTACATGGTGCAACTCATACTTTGAATTTTGAGTCTTTCCCATAGCTCAAGCTTCTCCACATATGTCAGTGTGTTAGGGTGACCCTTTCCTTGCAGCAGCCTGCCCGTCAAGTGCGAAAGGTCCAGCTCTTCTGTTATCCGATTCCGCAAACAGTGCATTGCATAAGGCAATGTTGTTGAATCAGCTATTCTTTGAATATTTTCAAAATGGGCTTGGAGTCTACCAGTCAAAGATGATACCAGAAAAATAAAATAAATTAGAGAAATAAAATTTGAGACAATGTCCAGTGATAATAGATAGAAACTTGATTCTCTTAACTGGGCCTTAATAAGTTCTTCGGTTTCCCGCTGGTCTTCAAGTTCACTCTCCAACTGAGAAAGCCTCCGTCTATGGGCATCATAAAGCTTATACAGAACATACCCACTTCCCAAAACTCCCAATGCAGCAAAAACCTTCCTCTTATGCCTCCTCCAAAAATCCCTATTTGTCACCAAAAGGAGGAAATACAAACAACCCAGATCGAAAGGGAATCAATAGAAGCAAAAAGACGAATTACAGAAGATATCCCAACATGAAAATGGGCGAATAAAAAGAACCAAAGTTAAGATATTGATAATTAAGCATTAAAAGCTGCTTTCAGTACAGAGACTCGAATGATAAAAGATAACCAAAGAGAGAAACTGACCTTAAAGAAAGCATTTTGACGCTAATAAGCCTAGAAATCCATTCGCTAAGTTATCGTTTGCTGCGAACACATTAGGATGCGAAGCAAGAGAGACCCAGAAAGAAAGAAAGAGGAAAGAAAGAGGTATCCCTCCCTCGCGATTTGAAACGGTGTTCACAAATCAACGAGCAATTCAATTAGAACAACTAAAACAGAGAATACAGATACGCCTTTGGAGATGAGAAACTAGCGGAAATCTAGACATGAGTTTCTTCTGATTTTGAGGGTTTCTCAGAATCCCAGGTTACAACCACAGAGAGCACAACAAAACCATTTCAGAACCAAAACCAAACTGCTTAGAACTTAGAAGCGGTTGCTTATAGTCATTTAACCCCTCTCTAGTCTCTACCGCGGTATCATGAGCTGAGGACTTCAAACTTCGAAGCTGAAGTGGTAATTGGCTCAACCGCTCAAGCTTCAAAGCTGCCATCAGAGATGAACTGACGACGTTTATGCCATGCTAAGTACAAACTGACGACGTTTGTACTTAACCGGCCCAAACGCTACGAGTCCTGTTCCGGTCCTAAGGGGTTTCTGTATATTTACACTAGCGGGAACCGTGCGATGCACGAGTTTGTATAGTCAAAGCTAACCAATAGAAACACAGTATACAATTGTTTTGTATTTTAATTTTTTAAATTTGTAATAATTAATTATATTTTATAAATTATTTTTAAAATAACTTTCTAAATTTTGGTTTTGGTTTTGGTTTTGTTAGTTTGTTTTTAAATTTTCAATTTATTCAATTCGGTTTTTAATCAAATAAATCGAATGCTCACCCCTACATCCATTATTTGGGTCACTTGATGGAATTATTAATCTTTATTATTTATGTATTATTAGATATTTTTATTATTTTCAAATTTCAAAAGTAACTTTAATTATGAAAAAAAATTAAAACTAATAAAACATTTAGTAGTTTTAGTTTTAAATTATTAATAATTACTTTTGTTAATAATTTTTAAAAAATAATAAATATAATCATATTACATTTTTAATTAATAATTTTTAGTATTATGTAGGTGGATTTTAGTTTTCATCATTTTTATGAATTATCAATTTTTACTAAAAATTTTATTTTTTATTACTAATTGGACCTTAACTGAATATATTATGGGTTTTTAGATGGATCTATATGCTATCTGTATACAAGATAGGTCAATTTCAAATCAAATGTACCCATATTCATTATGGGTGATTGAAAATGAATTAGCTAAAACCTGGAGACACTATCTTCTTCGCCCAATACTTCAAAATGGAGTACTACGAACCAAATAATATCAAATATGTCAAATGCCAATTATTGTTTTGATCAAGACTAATTGGAAGGTATTCGCTAATCCTTTTTAGACAAATAAATTGGTTATTTCAACCACCATTTAGGTTGTTAAAAAGCAACAAATAGAAAGAAAAGAGTAGAGGAGATAAAAACTTACTTGATTCAACTTGTAAACCTATTGATTTTATTAATAAGTTATATGGATCAAGTTGGTTTTCTTGAATACTTATTATGAAATCAATGATGCAAGAATGGGTAGGGAAGGTAGCTTCACATGCCTCTTCCTTCACATTCGACTGAACATGCAACACAAGAATGACTTTCTTGAAGAGTCATTCTACAATGTTGTTATAACCATTTGCCATGGTTATAAACATGTGAGACGATTGACACTTTGATTTCAAAAGATAAAATGTCTACCTGTGAGATGATTTAGTAGAAATTTTCTAAGAGACAACACTTTACAATTTTTGCGACACTACCTTCCCTACCCCCTCTCCCTTTGTATTTGTGCACCATATAAGGAAGATCTAGAAAATCCACGCCATCGAGAAATGAGACCTCAAACTCATAAATATTTCTACTTAAAATTGATATTGCTTTGTAATGTTTCATGTCATTGTTACAATTAGTCGGAAGCCCATTTATGTAGGAGTTTTAGAGTTGGAGAATAAAGCATATTTTAGAATTTAGTCAAAATAGAAAATGTCTTATATCTTCTAACAAAGCACATATTCAAAATATAGATGTAAATTGAGAATAAAAAAAGATAGACTATTGAGAAAGGGGAAGGAGAGAAGAGGAGCTAAGTGATGTGGCCTAGGGAAAGGGCTATGATGGGGGTAAGAAGGAATGGGAGAGAGAATTAAGGAGGAAGCAGAAAAATGAGGAAGGGAGAAAGCAGAGCAATGGTGATAGGGATATATATAGTATAGCTTGTATAGAAAATGAAGGGGGTGTTATGTTCATGGTTCAAAAAAGGGTGATTGTGATTAAGAACCATGCAACCTATATTTTAAAATGCCCTCTTTTTTTTTAAATGAAAATAGGTTGGTTGTGGTTATTTTCAACCATCATATATGTTCTACTATGTATGGTTGTGGTCATGTTTTAAATTACATAGAACTACAAACCAGTGGTTCATTTTTTAGACTCAACACATTATCAGTATTTTTGTGTGACTCACATGTACGGAAGTAATTGATCTACCATCATTCAACTTTGGTAGTACGGATATTTATTTACCATATGTGAACAATAATATATATAATTATATATTTTTTCATGTGTATAAAAAATATATTGCATTTTATGCAATATAGGAATATGGCTTAAGATATACAAAATCACTTGGTCATGTCAACCTTCTTTTTGAAACATGTGGTTGTGTTGGTATTTGAAAAAGAGGGAATTTGGTTGTTCTGAAACATGGGGAGTTATGTTTGTGAATCAAATGTGATGCAGCGCGATCCGGGCACTCCTAGCTGGTGGACATCTGATTCCTATCTGGTGACGGACGGTACCTGAGAAGAGGAAGGTGAAGGATTCCCGGGGAGCTCGCCCGGTGGGAATACTCCGATGGTTAAGTTAAAACTCTGAGAGAGCTGTAAGAAATGCAAAGAGAGCTAAGAGTGCAGATAGCGCTAGATCAGTTCAAATTACCTTCGCCCCTTGGAAACCAGGGCCTTTAAATACAGATGTTCTCGTCAAGTCGAGTGTAACCGCCACTGGTCCTCTGTCGCAGTCGTTATTTTCCAGGGCTGCGCAAGTAACCGTTGTAGAGTACTGCCCAATCAAATGAGAGACACGACCCGGAAAAGACAGGCACGCCGCCACCTGTAGAGAGACGTGGGTGCAGTCCGTTGGGCTGGCAGGGACTGCGCTGTCAGTCAGGAGATGTGGTGCAGTCTGACGGGTACGATCTTGTCAGATAAGAAGCTTCCTGAAAACGTCGCATCGCTCAATAGCGAGCTCCTGGAGGTATTCCGAGGTGATTCCGCATGAGGTTGTCTTTGAGGCGATCCTCTTGCCTAAGTATTGGAGCGAACTGATTACCCCAGCTCGCGAGCTGGGATAGACTTAGCTTGGAGTGTTCCCTTTCAGCATACTGGGGTCCTTGAGCTCACGCTGTAGCGAGCTCGTTCCGTGGCGAATTGTAATGTAGCGAGCTGACCTGCGAGGACTTTAACGAGCTTGTTACTCTGTTGTAGCCAGGTTGTCACGCTGAGTTGTTACTTATGTCGAGTCATGTCCATGTGTCACCTTCTTAGGAGGTCGGGTCAAATCACCCTCCATCAATTGCCCCCCACTCCTCGGGCTAAGGGTCTCACTCTTTGCACGGGGGAGTTCATGAGGTGACGGGCGGATTTGACCCGAAATTCAAACTAGATTGACTGATCGCATTAAATACATACGCGGATGTCAGGCGATTTTTGGACTTTTTAAGTGCCCAAAAAGCGCGCAAAATGGCTCTCAGTTTCGGAAGACATGCAGCCGGCATTACCTTAATCATGGAAGACATGCAGCCAGTCATATCTCAATTTCAGAAGACGTGTGGTCAGTTTGATTACGAATTGTCGGATTCGCCTTGATCTGAGTCGTCAGTTTGCAGACAGTGGCTACAAATAGGAGGTCCCCATGCCTCATTTTTCTTACGCCAACTTGCCTTGCTTTCGGATTCGAGGTCGCCCCTTTGCCTAGTTGCTCGAGCTCTTTTTCTGTTCACACCGTCCATTCGGTTCAGCTTTTTCCTGGTGAGTCCTCTTGTTCTGTCAGCAATGTCTGGGTACCCGTACAATATCTTTCCCCGGGGCGGTAACCAAGATGACGCCCCTTCGAGCTCAGGGGGAGCTTGGAGGCAGGCTCCGGAGGTTCGAGAGGCTTCCGTTGAAACGACTTCCACTTCCCGGGGTAGGGAGCCGAACAGCTTCGGTCCTTCCTCCATGTCGATGGAGAGACTCAGGACCTTGGTCCTTCAATTTGACCTTCCCAGAAATCTCATCTACAGTCTCCCATCCGATGACTATCCTTGGGAACATGGTCATGATGAAATCGTGATCTTTCAGGCACAACTCATTGCTGACCTTCGTCTTCCTCTACATCCCTTGATAGTGGAGGTTATAAACCATTTTAATGTTACTATGGACCAACTTCACCCCAACTCAATCCGAAATGTAGTTGGGACAATTTCTTTATTTTATGAGTATTGTCTTCCTCTCGACATTGACATCTTCTCCTCTATTCTTTCCTTCAAGAATGCCTCCCACGGAGCGCCTCCAGAAAGGCGTTCTTATTACTTTTCTCCCCGTCCTGTCTTCAAGCTCCTTCACGAGCTGCCGAACAGGATCCCGGCTTGGAAGCGGGATTATTTTGTAGTTTGCAACCCCGAAGGGTGGCCCTTCCCGACCCACTGGAGGGCCGCCATCCAGGATTTGGGTGTTGACTTGGATCCAAAAGTTTGGGAGACACTGCAATCCTAGGCAGTGGTTGGCTTCCATTGCTCGGACTATTTGGCTGAGGACAAGCTCGCGCAGGTCGGCCTGAGCTCTAGTAGGTTGCCCTTAGGTCGCACTTTCTCTCTCTCTTTTTTTTGGACTAATGCCTTGTGATTTTTGGCAGCCAACATGTCTGGTGTACATGCACGCCGCCTTCTGTCAAGCAACCAAAAGCGCAGGGTGAAGAGGTCGTGCCTTGATCGAGCGTCCACTTCCGGGCTTTCCGAGTTCGAGGCTGCTGACCCAGCCTTCGTTCCACCACCGCCAGAGGTACCGTCGGTTCCGTTCGAGGGAATAGCCACGGAAGGTGGCGCAAAAGAAGGCAAGGTCCCACCGCAAGGGCAGTACCCTCTGTTTGTGCAGTCCCGCCTCATCGCCTTCCCACGGTTCCCTACCGAGGGGAAGGAGGAAAGCGTCACCGACTTCATCGTGGCCTCACGAAGGAGCCGACAGGCGATCACCCACGTGGAGGTCGCCAACTGGGGAGGGATGGACCCTAAGCAGCTTGCCAGGCTGGCCTCAGCTCATTGCATGGTGGTAAGTGATTGCTTCTTCTTCCTTTTTGTTTTTTTTTTTTTT